GGCCATTCTCAGATCTGCAAATGAAACCTGCCTGTGGTTTGTGACGTGTTGTTTAAGTTGGCCACTGGTGCCAACAGTCAACACAAAGAAAGAATGGAAAGAGGAAATAAGTGCGTCAAAAAGACTATTTAACATGTATTTGTGTGGATTCTATGCTGTTCATATTGTTCTATTCATTTTGTGCAGCATTTTGGGCAGCTGGTGTTGTTGTAAATATGCTAAAGACATTGACAATGACATCAGGGTGTGAAATTTGGGACCACATGTGTCCACAGTCACTTTACTCATGAACGTTTTGCCTCACACGTTTTCATCAGAATTCAATACTGTTCAAATACACAAATAGATCAAGCATAAGGTGTGATACTACTGTACGTGTTCGCCTCGTGGGACACAACAGCTCTAAAAGTAACAAAGAAAGGTGACCATTTAATATATATTTTCTTTAACAGCATGTGACACCGATTCCATAGTATAAATTACTATGAACAACATAGTAGTGCAGAATATGTTGGTAGAGGAGGGAAAGGATGGGGCAATTTTTAGACATCCAGAGCAGGGACCAAATAAAATAATAATTAATACAAACAAAATTAAAGCCGCAAGCGGCGTCGAACGGCCCTCGCCGCACCGCGCGACTCCCCACACCGCACGCACCACCGCATTTTTATTTTTCCATTTTGAAGTTAAATTTATGGGCTTCCTGTTTGTCAGGGGGCTTGACCATAATAACTTTTATTTCATGTCTTGAGTTGAGGAACATGTGTACCAAATTTCATGCCTATACGACAAACTTGATCTAGAACCCCTCCAATACTAAACATTTTGACCCCATCTGTAGGGGGCACTAATGAGCCAAGTTAATATATTTCACTTTCAAATGACCTAGACCCTAGAGTTGAACAATGGATTAAAGTGTTGTGCAAATCAGACTTTGTATGTGTAAACGGGAGCAAATATAATATTGTCAAAAATGGCCAAAAAAGGTCAGAATTTGCCGCTCCGCTGCTCAAACTACGTTTCACTGATCAAAAATCCCTTTGGTCATTTTGATGGTACATGTGTTTAGATGATGTGGAGCAATTTTGAGGCGAATCGGTGAAACGGCCGAGGAGGAGTCGCTTTCCAACCGAAATGTATGTAAATTATTGCCGTTCTTTTTCCATATTGCAGTGAAATTTATGGGCTTCCTGTTTGTCAGAGGGCGGGGCCATAATAATATTTTTTTCATGTTTTTCATGTTCTTGACTTGAGGAACATGTGTACCAAATTTCATGGCTCTTCAACAAACTTGACCTCTGAAAAGTCCCATAGGGGTATTATTTTGGCTGTTGTAGGGGGGCGCTGTTCTAGCATTTTTTAAGTCCAAAATAATCAAGTTTTTGCCAGGTGTGATTTTTGGGCAAAATGTAACAAGTTTTCATGCATGTTCAGGGGGTCAAATTAGGGCTCAAAGTGCAGAAGAAAAAATAAATAAATAAATAAGGAATTTTGTTTTGACGTCTCGAGCAAAAACAATATAGGTTTCAATGGCGCGTGATACATCATTTTAAAGCGTTTGAGTTTACGCACGCAACCGTCACGTTGTGGTGATTGTGGTGATTGCATTCACCATTGTGAAAGCACTAGGCCCTTACCCCGTTCGGGGCTCAGGCCTAATTAATGGAAAGATGATATTATCTGGTTTGAGCTATTGGTGCAGGTTAGGCCGTCTAATTTGTAAACAAAAATTTAAATAAGAATGGGGTAGGAGATTATAAGATTTGTTTTTTCTTGTTCCTACTCCTGTTCTTTGTACTTGCTGGATATTTGTGGTATTTTTCTGCATTTCCATGAAAAAATTGAGCAAATAAAGGGAAAAAGGGAAAGACAAGCTCTTAATTTTGAAAGCACTTCCCCACCCTCAAGGCCCCTAAACCCTTTTCCTGATAATATAAAGAAGAACAGAACAAGATGTAATATATAAACACCACTCGCGTGTTTTCCCAGTCCTTCCCAGAGCATCGTGTCGTTCTGATTTCCCCGCGGTCACGAGAGGAACCACCGAGTCCGTGACAAGTGCAAACGCAAACACAAGCTGTCCAGTAAAAGGTTAGAGAAATGTGCAAATAGATCACAGCTCGCTCTCCGCCGCGTGACCTTTTAACCAGCATAGGTCAGCAGCAGCCACAGCACCGACAAGACCAGCCGCACTAAACACCACTCTTACGGCTCTTTTCACTCTCTGCTCACTCTCCTGCTGCTTTGGAAAGTGCTGCTAATTGTTATCTCCTGACTTTTTCATTAACTTATGAAAGGAAATGTCAACTGAGTCTCATTTTGAAGATGAACTTTGAACAATGAATCAAACGCACAAGATGCCGATGGCTCAATAAACATCAAAAAGGATAATTGTGTTTTAAGTTTGGTCTTTAAACATAACTTTCTTTTTTTTATGGAAAGAAACATAACACACACAATGGAAACTAGCCCACATGAGCGATGAGATCTTTCTGAGTGGAGTTTGCATGTCCTTCCCGTATATGGGAGCTATTATTGTTTCAATAATATTTGTGTGTGCGTAAACAGATTTTGTGTGTGTGTAGTAGATCCTTAAGATTACAAAGGCTTGAAGACTACTTTATATTGTTGAATTGAAATTAATAGTGCATTGCGCGAAAAGGTCAAAGAATGGAAATAGTCATTTATTTTTTCATCATGCTCTGCTGGGTGCGTTACATGGTCTCCCCCACACCTGTCGTAAGGTAAGCCACAACTGAGAAAAGATGAAAAAAAACATATTTTATTCATTACTTTTTGCCATTGTACGAAGGAGCCTCTTTTTTGCCAGATGCTATGAGATTAAAGTCAGAATATTTTGACTTTAAAGTCGATTATGAGATTAATTTCATAATATCAATATGGGATTGACGTTGTTATTTCATGTTTTAGACTGTAAAATAATATCTTAAGTAGAAAATAGGTCTGAAGAGTAAACTATTCTTTCCACCTGTAACTACCACCAGAGAGAGGTGTTTAAATAAAAATTAATAAATTACCAAAACAAATTGATGGACAATATTTTTGTTTTAAAAGGCAGAAAACTGCTCTGAGCGTGATGTCACATTGTTACAAATACTTAATAATATTACAGGACTGAGACAGGAGCTTTCAGAAAGAGGGGCGGGGTTACAGGTTTGTGACAGAAACTATAAATAAATAAATAAAAAAACAACTTTTGAATATTTCCACACTATTCTGATAGCAGCAGCTTTTTCCTGTCTTCTCTCTGCTGCAGAGCCGAGAAACGCACTGTTGATGCTGAAAAGTTGGAACGGCAAAGATTTTAAATGGCAAAGCTAGCTAATTATGCTTGTTTTAAATATCGTGTTACACTGGTTGTTGTCTGTTGTCTGAGAAAAAAATTCCTGCACGGCTACGCATGTGTAAATTGCAAGTTTGTATATTTCTTGACTGTCTTTGTGTTGCTATAAGGTTTAACTAGTGTATGGCCTTGTTTTGAAATAATGTAAATAAGATAAGATACACTTTAATGATCACACAATGGAGAAATGTACCTGTCACAATTGGCAGAGATAGAATCAGAGTGTGCAAATCGATAGGAAATGTTAAAAGGTTGAAATAAAGGCTATTTTGTGCAAGATATATTAAGTACAATGAAAAATCAAAATGACTACAATGCCAAAGTCCCCCCCCCTCTGAAGTTTTCATAGAAGAGTTTATTGAGTGAAAGCGTCACATGTGGATGGAGCCAGGGCCATACGCCGCTCATTGTTTAAACATAAAGCATGGCCAAATCGACTCCTTATCTTTATCAGGATGTCGATAGTCATTATTGCTTATCTTGTCTTGATTATCCTCGAAGCTGTAAAATCAATGAGGCATAATCCAATACCGTTCTGCAGGTCAGGGGTTCACGCTGTGGCATGATCCATTATGCACATCAACTTCACGGAATCACCAACTTCAAACATGGATTATTCTTTAGGCTTAAATTACAATAAACTCGTACTTTAATGAGTCTATTGTCTATTGTCCTCATAGGGAAATTTGTCCTCTGCATTTGACCCACCCTTCAATGCCACTAGGGCAACCTGTCAGGGGCAGTAGTGGCTATAGCACCTCATGCTGATGGTCGGCTTGGTCAGGACTGACTCAGCTGGAGGATTTTGCCTCTAGTGCATGTTTTAGGTGGTGGGAGAAACCGGAGCGCCCGGAGGAAACACACCCAGACACAGAGAGAAACACACAGAAAGGCCCCAGCTGGAAGTGGAACGGCATCCAAACTTCCCAACCTGGTACCCCCAATATAAACTTTGAATCAGCTTGCGATCCCTAGCCCCCCCCCCCCCCCCCCCCCCCCATTTTGTGGAACAAAACTAAATTGGTACTATTATCGTTTAAAGTCTAGTTTTACCTTGAAATACAGTGTTTTATTATTTAATTGTTGATTAAAGATGCAGTAAGCGATTTTGTTAGCTTAGCCATAGCACCAACTCTAAACCACTCCCCCCTCTCCTCGCCTCTCCACCAAACCAAACATCCGGCATTTTCTTTTCTTTGTCACAACAGGGACAGTGGGTGGCCAACGTGAAATTGGCATCTTCTATTCAGCCATTTAAGGTTTTAGAAAATCTGATAACTCAGATGCGCACACTCGCGAGAAACAGGAAGAGGGTGAAGGGGGTAAACACATTCTGTTGATATATCGGTTTTATCGGTCCGCTGCAAAATATTTGTTTATGATTATTTGGAGACTATAGGCGACTATAGACTATAGGAAAATAGTGTTTTCAACTATTTGAAAACACATGATCACTGGACTACTTTTAGAGTTTGGAACGTTTTCCCACAATATTTACAAAAATGCGTCTGGAAAAAATCACTCATGACTCATCTTTAAATACATATTGTCAGCGTGTTATAATTATATCTGCTTGTGACCCCCAGCAAGTGTCCTGGCCATGACCCACGCTTTGAGAACCACTGTTATGAGGTCTATGGTGGAAGAGGAGTCCATGTCTCTTGAGCTTATTGCAGCGTAAGCCTCCAAACAGCTTCATCTTTCTCTGCCTGATTACATGATCAAATACAAGAGTGACAAAAGCCACACAGCCTCACAGCACTGACGGAGCAATAATCCCCTTATTTCCTGCTGAAAATCCAATTTGAACAGCTCATTGTGGCGGAGAGGTGCGCCTCCTCAACTCAATCTGATGGAAACTCACCAACATCTGAAACAGGGGCTCATGAGGCTGAGAGAAAAGGCTACGGAGCCACTGGGTTTAACTTGCACTCCAGCAGATAGAGATAAGATGCTTACGATTGATCAATTATTGCTTTTGGAAAATTCTTGACGTCATTGGATGAAGTGAGTGTTGCAACTCTACAATTGTAACTAAATAACAAAATATAATTCCCTGTAAAAACGTAAATGGTGGTGTATTCATGTCCATTTTCCAGATTCAAGGATGCAACTGTATTTTATTGTGTTGATTTTCATTATCCTGAATAATTTTGTATTAATATACCAGACAGTTATTGTTGTATTATTATTACAAATGTAGTTAATCAGTTTCTTGAGTAATTACAGTACCACCAGTAACATACAGTTGGGTAAATAAGCAGGCAGATGCTTTGGGGAACAGGTATATTTTGAATCGGTAAAAAACAATGTGAAAAACCATGTGCTGGGAAAACTCAACAATAACTGAACAAAAAAAACCTCAACAATAAATCATGTCTTTTGCTGAGGCACAATCCTAGACCTCCAAATCTTTTGTCATTTTCTTCTGACCGAGACAGGAGCTTTTAGACAGAAGGGACAGAGCTATATGTTTGTGACACAAGTTTCTCGTTTTAGCATGGATGGATGTAAACATCATGTTTAAAAAATGAGAACGCCCTTTGTTTCTCCCCGTTGGAAACTTCTAATTATTTATTTATTTATTTATTTGAGAAAGGGGGAACAATACATGTTAATGAACATTTTCACAAATGTAAATATGCCAGATTATAGCCTTAGGCTAATTTCCATCTGCAGAACCCCTGGCAGGTTGGTGTTACACACAAGTTAGTAAAACAGAGATACTATTTATATAAAGAGAGACAGGGACAGTGGTCGCTTCATGTTAGAACAAGCAGTAAGCATGCAAGAGTGGACAGTAAAGCACAATGTAGAAAACAGTAACAGAAACACATAATCTGTATTGCACAAACCCGAGTATTGCACATGCCTGACTGTCCTGATATTACACAGACCCATATTGCACCACTCTATATTGCACTGACCCGTATTGGACCACTCCTTATTGCACTAACCCTCATTACACTAACCCGTATTGGCCCACTCCTTATTGCACTGACCCACCTTGTATAGACCTGTATTGCACAGCCCACATTACAATGATAACCGTTTCCCTTTTTTGCACTGCACCAGCTCTATCTAAACATGATCACATGTTTGAGTGTCCCTCAGCCAAGTGACTCCTGAAAGTAGGCAGACTGGTTATTTCCCTCACTGACACCGGAATACTATTCCAGATATGACAGGACGTTTTGTGAGAAAGCGGTCCGCGGTCCGCGGTTCGAGTCACTCGAGAACTGGCAGGACTACTAGACTTTGGTTTAAGAAAATCGCTCATTGGTGGAGGCGCTAGACCATGTATAACCTTATAGATTAGGCGTGCTGATTTAAACAATTTGAAATTATAAAAAATTCATAATTTATATTTGTCTAAGATTTGACAATGATGGTATGACGAAGGCTTCTTGTCTAATATTTTCAAAGCTCTTTTCTAACATACTTCAATTGGCCCAATGGCAGCATGACTCGTATAAGACCAGCTTGTGATACAGTTTTCAATATGAGCCAGTATCATAGAGTGCAAGGGAAACTTGAGCCAGGAATTACCCAAATACAGACAGTTTATCAAATGCCCGACCAGAGAGGAGAACACTCTGGATCACTGCTACACCACCGTGCGCGGAGCTTTTCGCGCTGTTCCCAAGCCAGCCCTCGGCTTCTCAGATCACTCCATGATACATCTGGTTCCTGCTTACAGACAGAGACTAAAGCTCTCGAAACCTGCAGTGAGGAGCTCCAAAGTGTGGTCTGATGAAGCTGTGGAAGAGCTGCGCGCATGCATGGAATCTACAGACTGGGACCTTTTCAGAGCTGCCACAGACAGCTTGGATGAATACACGGACACTGTGACGTCATACATTCACTTCTGTGAGGATAGCATCATTCCAACAAGGACCAGGGTCATCTATAACAACGACAAACCCTGGTTCACTGCTAAACTCCGGCAGCTCAGGAAAGCAAAGGAGTCTGCTTTCAGGGAGGGGGACCGCAGCGGCTACAAAGCAGCTAAATATCAGTTCAGGAAAGAACTGAAAGCAGCCAAGTCCCGGCACAGAGAACGACTACAGGAGCAGTTTGGTAACAACGATACTGCTTCTGTCTGGAGGGGCCTACGGGAGATCACCAACTACAAACCCAAAGCCCCCCCCTGTGCTGATGCCCACAAGCTAGCTGACGATCTGAACTTATTTTTCAGTCGCTTTGATGCTGCCCCTGACACCTCTCCCTCCCCCACCCCCCACTACTCTAACGACCCACCCATCAGCCCTGCCCCCAGCCTAACAATAGCCGCTAAAGAGATTAAACAACTCTTCCTGAGGCTGCACCCCCGCAAAGCTCCTGGCCCGGACCACGTGTCTCCGGCCACTCTGAGACACTGCGCCAGTGAGCTTACTCCTGTGTTCACGGACATTTTCAACACCTCTCTGCAGTCCTGCCATGTCCCGGCCTGCTTCAAATCCTCCATCATTGTCCCCGTCCCGAAGAAGCCCAGGATCACAGGACTCAATGACTACAGACCTGTAGCACTTACGTCTGTCGTCATGAAGTCATTTGAACGCCTGGTTCTCTCCCATCTCAAGTCCCTCACCTCCCCCCTCCTGGACCCCCTGCAGTTCGCCTACAGAGCCAACAGATCTGTAGACGACGCCATTAACCTGGCCCTCCACCACATCCTACAGCACCTGGACTCCCCGGGGACCTACGCCAGGGTCCTGTTCGTGGACTTCAGCTCTGCCTTCAACACAATCCTGCCATCCCTGCTCCAGGACAAGCTCTCCCAGCTCAACGTGCCCGATTCCACCTGCAGGTGGATCACTGACTTCCTGACGGACAGGAAGCAGCGAGTGCGTCTGGGGAAGAATGTCTCGGACTCTCGGATTATAAATACAGGAGCCCCACAGGGCTGTGTTCTTTCTCCCCTGCTCTTCTCCCTGTACACCAACCACTGCACCTCCAGCCACGACTCCGTGAAGCTGATCAAGTTCGCGGACGACACCACCCTCATTGGACTCATCTCCAACAACGGTGAGTCCGCCTACAGGAGGGAGGTGGACCGGCTGGTGTCCTGGTGCAGTGGTAACAACCTGGAGCTGAACGCCCAGAAGACAGTGGAGATGATTGTGGACTTCAGGAAGAGCACTGTCCCCCCGCCCCCACCCTCCGTGATGGACTCCATCACCTCTGTGGAGTCCTTCCGTTTCCTGGGCACCACCATCACCCAGGACCTCAAGTGGGAGCCGACCATCAGCTCCCTCATCAAGAAGGCCCAGCAGAGGATGTACTTCCTGCGGCAGCTCAGGAAAGCCAAGCTGCCTGCACAGATGTTGGTGCAGTTCTACACGGCCATCATCGAGTCCATCCTCACCTCCTCCATCACCGTGTGGTTCGCTGGAGCCACAGTCAGGGACAAACAGAGACTACAGCGCATCGTGCGCTCTGCAGAGGAAGTGATCGGCCGCAGCCTTCCATCGCTGCAGGACCTGTACGTCGCCCGAGCTCGAGGCCGGGCTGGTCGTATCACAGCCGACCCCTCTCACCCTGCACATGGACTATTCCAACCACTCCCCTCAGGCAGGAGGCTGCGGTCCATCAGGACTAGAACCTCCCGCCACAAGAACAGTTTCTTCCCCTCTGCTGTTGGACTCTTGAACACTTCTTAACCTGTCCCCCCGCCCTTTTAAAGTCACTTTACTGCCCATCATACGTCACTTTACTTCACTGTACTGCTGTCACCTTACATTGTGTGCACCATGTGCACTTGTATATTGTAAATAGTAACTGTAACTCTATTTTAAATTTAAATTTATTCTTTAGAAGTGTTTTTTATTCTTATTTTTATTATCTCTTTTTGACTGTTGCACTGAGCCAAAGCAATTTCCAAGTCTGTGACCTCCTGTTACTTACGTTGGCAATAAAAATGATTCTGATTCTGATTCTGATTCTGAAGAATTGCTGCTGTATCCGTTAATGATGTCCGGATATGTCTGAAGTCAAAATCTATTGTCAAAAGATCCATTAGTTACAGCCCTAGGATCTAGTAGTCATGGTGACAGGCCCAACGGAATAACTGTACAGAGGAACTCAAACAGTGCACCTCTCTCTTTCATTTTAAAAGATTATATAAAAATAAGACTCTTGTCAGATACTTGAAATTTGTCCAATAATTTTCTGTTTCTGTATCTCCTTAATGGATAAACGGCCTGATGTTTTTTGTTTTTGTTTTTGTATTTCCAATGAGGAAAAACACAAAGGCACATGTTGTGTATAAAGGCAGGCATTATAAGCTTATGCTTCAGCCGACGCCTTTTTGGTCAGTGTAAAGTAAAGTAAAGTATCAGTTTGTACGGTACATTCTTTCTTTTTTTGGAATATTTTGTGTTCCTGTGGAAACTATCCTTGTACAACTTTGTTTTCGATGCCTGACCGAATAAACTAAACTAAACTAAAAAACGAATTACTTACACTGGTAAATCTTGTTGTGGTTTGTCTGCTCAGGTCTAAGGCCTTTCAGTAATACAGTGGAGGAGGCTTGTGCAACCTCTCATTCTGCCCAGTACAGTACCACTGGACCGTCCTACAGTACTACTGTACTGTACTCAGCCCATGGCCATCCCTCCTGGCTGCTTTCCCTCCATCACACTCCCTTCACACCAGACTCTTATCCACGACCCTCTCCATCTGGGCGTTTGTTTCCTGATGGTGCCAAAAGTGATTAATGTGCGGTTTTTAAAAGTAGATTTCTGACTTCTGAACTTGTGTGCTTTCATTGTGTTCTTTGAAGTCGACAGATGAACGCTATTATCATCGAACAATTGTTCTATCACTCGTTTAGGAGTCTGGCAGTTGGAGACCCATCTTGCCCCAATTTTTTTTTTGTCAGCATTAATTTAAGTCTAGTTTTGCAAACTTGTTCTCAACATGTTCTCTTCTTCTCACTAGAGCTAGAGTCAGGTCCATAAAAATGGGAAGACTTGCGGTGAATTGGGTGGCAGCTGATTGCCACCCCCCTGACCCAGACATGGACAAAGGGGAAGACAATGGATGGATGGACTTGCGTAGTTTTGACTCCTCCAATTGAGCTGAAGGATAGAAGCCTGGAACCGTTTCCACCTTGAGAATGTCAGGATTGTTGCTCAGTATACATCTGAGGGGATGATGGCCAGTGTTGGGGAGAATACTGTTCAAAAAAATTATTTACCGGTAAATATAGAATACTTTCAAATGGTTTTTGTTACATATTCTGTTGCATTGTTTAATACATTTATGCTAAAAATAACTAAAAGCAACACTTTCATGTTTTTAAAATATACTGCCTAAAATGCATGAACAAATAACAAAATGTGTGTGTGTGTGTTCAAAATGACCTGCATTCCGAATACCAGAACAAGAAAAAGTGATGTATTCCAAATACATGTAATCCATTATTCCCAAACTCTATGCTGATGGCACATATTGGCAGCTTGGCTTCCTTCAGACAGCATGAGGGCAGATGTGGCTACAATATTGCTTAGGCTGAGGTTTAGTTTTGCTTAGTGCAACAGGTTGTGTTAAAATAGAATAAAGTAATTCTTCAACTAACTTGATGGGTTCTATAACGTGTGGAAATATGTTTGTTGCTGTTTAAATAACAGAAGCCTGTTTTAAAGGGACAGTATGTGCTAATGTCTACACATTAGTATTCCAGTGCGTCCTCCTGCTCCTCTCCACTCTGCAGGAGGCCTATAGGTACATTCCCATCAGCTGTTTGCCCTGATAACTTCTGTCACAAAATCAAAGCTAATCCATCGCTTTGAGGCAACTTCTCAAATCCTCCTTTTAGAGCAAAGTGGAAATGAAAATAGAGGAGATCTGTCAATGGCAAATGTCCCCTAGTCAGTTTTTGGTCAACACAAATCAAAGGGACAGGGGAAACAGTGAGCGCGGGGAGGAGATGAAGGCGTGCACCCGTTCTTCCTCATCGGAGACGTCCCATTGGCTCGCACAGTTGTCCTCACCCTGGGGTCCCAAACGCCCTTTTGTTGTCATGTCCGCATTGATCCGTTTCACCGCATGGTGTTGGTGGACGCATCAAACGCACCCTCCCGACCGCTGCTTTCAAAGGCCGACGATGAAGGCGTGAAATATGAAAATGCTCGTCATAGGGGAGTGTGAAGGAGGCAATTTCCATCACGGCCCGAGTCTGTTCCCCACGCCGAGGCGGATAAGCCGACTGTGTGGTGTTTGTAGCAGCGTTGCTTATACTGGGGCTTACACAGACGAAAGGGGAGATAGACGGTACAATTACCAATGAAACAGATTTTTTTAACGTCTTTATTTGCTTTACACCCCAGGGGATTGAAATCATAACCACAGTAAATCGCCAGTTTGGCTCATTAGCATATTCATAAATCTAGAGTTATGTGTTCACATTAAACTCTCCGTTTGTCCTTGATAAGCACTTTTCTACAGAATGGGAAAGGCACTGAGAATAAGACAAACTAAAATGGTTTTTGTGTTGGGGAAAAGTTTGAGGAATCTGTCACAATATATGTCAACCCTTCTCTTTAATGGGTAACTAATGTATTTAAATAGATTTATCTTTTGCACATTATTTTGCCACAATGGCACGTGTAATGCATTATTCATTCTCTACATCAGATTGGGAATCTTTTTAGCTGAGAGAGAGTCAAAAAAGTCTCATACTTTAAAGTGGATTTCTATGAGAGCCATACAATTTGTGATTGTTTAAAACAAGATTAACACATTGTAATAGTGTTAATCTGGAATGCATTGTAAAATACATGTAGAATGTATTATTTTAATTAACATTTGTATAATGAATAAATTCAATACCAACTAAGATTTGCCTGAGAGCCAGACGCAGTCATCAGAAGAGCCACATCTGGCTCCTGAGCCATAGGTTCCTGACCTCTGCTCAACCACACCTGCCCACAGTCCAGGAAAGACATTGTCTTGAACATATCAGGGTAATTTGGCTAATCATTTAATGTGCTCTCACCAATACCCAGTAAAGTTCATTGAATATTTCTAGTGCTGTCAACTTGAGTAATTCAAAGGTAAACATAACCAGTCGTCATACGCACAAATGCTATTTCAGTTTAAATAGTGTTAGGTCTCACTGTCATTAGTCAGAATTAAGTCACTGTCAAATCCATAGATTGTACATGTCCCTGTTTGTGAGTGGCTGTTGGTTTTTTAACTTAATAAATACCATCCATCCATTTTCTACTCCTTAATCCATTTCTGGGTCAGGTGGGTGGGCAGAGATCCCACCCAGTACACATAGCACCAGCCCCTCACTGATCCTCCTGCAGGTGGTGAGTCCACAGGCGCTGAGATCTTTCAGAGGGGGCTTCAGGTAAAGTGGGGTTAAGTGTCTTGCCCAAGGACACAACGACAGCAGTCATCAGTGGGTGTCGGTGGAGAAGGTCTCATGGTTGGTATTGTCTAAAAATAGACTTGGACGTGTCTTTTATTTGATAAAGAGAAATGAGAGGCAAGATTCCAAAAGTTCCATTCATCCATCCATCCATTTTCTTCCGCTTTATCCGTTGCCGGGTCGCGGGGGCAGCAGTCTAAGCAGAGACGCCCAGACTTCCCTATCCACACACACTTCCTCCAGCTCGTCCGGGGGGACCCCAAGGCGTTTCCAGGCCAGCTGAGAGACATAGTCCCTCCAGCGTGTCCTAGGTCTTCCCCGGGGCCTCCTCCCGGTGGGACGTGCCCGGAGCACCTCCCCAGGGAGGCGTCCAGGAGGCATCCGGAACAGATGCCCGAACCACCTCAACTGGTTCCTATCTCTAAGGGAGCGCCCAGCCACTCTGCGGAGGAAGCTCATTTCGACCGCTTGTATCCGCGATCTCGTTCTTTCGGTCATTACCCAAAGCTCATGACCATAGGTGAGGGAGGGAACGAAGACTGACCGGTAAATCGAAAGCTTTGCCTTTCGGCTCAGCTCCCTCTTTACCACAACGGTCCGATACAGCGATCGCATCACTGCGCACGCTGCACCGATCCGCCTGTCAATCTCACGCTCCATTCTTCCCTCACTCGTGAACAAGACCCCGAGATACTTGAACTCCTCCACTTGAGGAAGGACCTCTCCACCCACATGTAGAGGGCTAGGCACCTTTTTCCGGTCGAGCACCATGGCCTCGGATTTGGAGGTGCTGATTCTCATCCCAGCCGCCTCACACTCGGGTGCAAACCGTCCCAGTGAATGCTGCAGGTCCTGGTTCGTTGGAGCCAACAGGACAACATCGTCTGCAAACAGCAGAGATGAAATCCTGTGGTCTCCGAACCGGACCCCCTCCGACCCCTGGCTGCGCCTAGAAATTCTGTCCATAAACACAGTGAACAGAACCGGTGACAAAGGGCAGCCCTGTCGGAGGCCAACATGCAACAGGAACAGGTCTGACTTACTGCCGGCAATGCGAACACAGCTCTGGCTCCGGTCATACAGGGATCGGATGGCCCTCAGCAGAGGACCTCCGACCCCATTCGCCCGGAGAACCCCCCAAAGGACACCCCGGGGAACACAGTCGAACGCCTTCTCCAAATCCACAAAGCACATGTGGACAGGTTGGGCGAACTCCCATGAACCCTCGAGTATCCGATGGAGAGTATAGAGCTGGTCCAGTGTTCCGCGACCGGGACGAAAACCACACTGCTCCTCCTGAATCCGAGATTCGACCCTCGGCCGTAGCCTCCTCTCCAGTACCTTGGAGTAGACCTTACCGGGGAGGCTGAGGAGTGTGATCCCACGATAATTGGAACACACCCTCCGGTCCCCCTTCTTGTAGAGAGGGACCACCTCCCCGGTCTGCCACTCCATTGGCACCGCCCCCGAGTGCAATGTTGCAGAGACGTGTCAGCCAAGACAGTCCTACAACATCCAGAGACTTTAGATAATCAGGATCTCATCCACACCCGGAGCCTTGCCACCATGGAGGCTGCCAACCACCTTCGTGACCTCAGCCATGGAGATGGATGTATCCGCCCCAACATCCTCAGCCTCTGTAATGGAGGACGTGACGGGGGGATTGAGGAGAACCTCAAAGTATTCCTTCCACCGCCCGACAATATCCCCAGTCGAGGTCAGCAGCTCTCCACCCGCACCGTAAATGGTGTTGGCAAAGAACTGCTTCCCCCTCCTGAGGCGCCGGATAGTTTGCCAGAATCTCTTTGAGGCCGACCGATAGTCATGCTCCATGGACTCTCCGAACTCCTCCCAGTCCCGGGTTTTTGCCTCTGCAACAGCCCGGGCCGCGGCACGCTTGGCCTGCCGGTACTGGACAGCTGCCTCAGGAGTCCCCCGAACCATCATGGCTCGATAGGACTCCTTCTTCAGCCTGACAGCATCCCTTACTGCCGGTGTCCACCACCGGGTTCGGGGGTTGCCGCCGGGACCAGCACCAGAGACCTTGCGACCACAGCTACGAGCCACCGCATCGGCGATTGAGGCAGAGAACATGGTCCACTCGGACTCCATGTCCCCCTCCTCCGCCGGGACCTGGGAGAAGCTCTCCCGGAGGTGCGAGTTGAAAGTCCGTCTGACAGGGGGCTCAGCGAGACGTTCCCAGCAGACCCTCACTATACGCTTGGGTCTGCCAGGTCTGACCGGATTCTTCTCCTGCCAGCGGATCCAACTCACGACCAGGTGATGATCGGTTGACAGCTCCGCCCCTCTCTTTACCCGAGTGTCCAAGACACGCGGTCGAAGGTCAGATGATACGACAACAAAGTCGATCATCGACCTCCGGCCTAGGGTGTCCTGGTGCCACGTGCACTGGTGGACACCCTTGTGCTCGAACATGGTGTTCGTGATGGACAAACTGTGACTGGCACAGAACTCCAACAACTGAACACCGCTCGGGTTCAGATCAGGGGGGCCGTTCTTCCCGATCACCCCTCTCCTAGTGTCACTGGCATTTCCAACATGGGCGTTGAAGTCCCCCAGGAGAATAACGGAGTCCCCGGGCGGTGCACCGTCCAGTACCCCTCCCAAGGACTCCAAGAAGGCCAGGTACTCTGCACTGCTGTTAGGCCCATAGGCCGTCACAACAATGAGAGACTTGTCCCCCACCCGGAGGCGGAGGGACGCAACCCTCTCATTCACCGGGGAGAACTCCAACACGTGGCGGCTGAGATGGGGGGCCATGAGAATGGCCCCCCAATGGGTTCCAGAGCCCAAGCTGTGTGTGGAGGTGAGGCCGACTACCTCTAGTCGGTATCGCTCAACGGTGGCAGAGTGGATAGCACTCTGGCCTCTCAGCAAGAAGGTCCTGGGTTCGAATCCCGGTCGGACCAGGGCCTTTCTGAGTGGAGTTTGCATGTTCTCCCCGTGTCTGCGTAGGTTTCCTCCGGGTGCTCCGGTTTCCCCTACCACTAAAAACATGTCCAATAGTTCTGGCATGCGCCACCTGTACTGGCGACCCTGCTCCCATCTCTGTGTGGAGTGAGAGACAAATGCCCAAAATAAACAATTGTAAACCGCTTTGAGACTCAGATCTGCAGTGAAAAGGCGGTATATGAATAAAGATTACTTACTACTTACTACTACTTACTCAACCTCCCCCACGAGCTCGGGCTCCTTCCCCCCCAGTGAGGTGACGTTCCACGTCCCAAGAGCCAGATGTTGTGTGTGTGGACTGGGTCGCCGAGGTCTCCGCCTTCAACTGCCGCCCAGTCCTCTCAGCACCGCGCCACCACGGACCCCTCTGCAGGTGGTGGGCCCACAGGAGGGACTGCCCACGTCATCCCTTCAGGCTGAGCCCGGCCGGGCCCCGTGGGCTAAGGCCCGGCCACCAGGCGCTCGCATACGAGCCCCGACCCCAGGCCTGGCTCCAGGGTGGGGCCCCGGCTGATTCCAAAAGTTAAAATATTATTATCTTCACACTTAAATACAAAACTCAAAAAGCTCCTAACTAACCCTGATCTAATCCAATGAGCTGAGATTAAAGTAACTGTCCCTAAACTATGAGAAAGAGAGGTCAACCAGGTGCTCTGCGATGACCTCTGTCTATCTGACCCTGCTCAAAAAACTGACTCACATTATTCACATATCGTATAATTTAAATGTGCAGAAGCGGGCGTGGCTTCGTCAGGCGATGTCAGTCC